TTGCTTTTTTTGTGATTGCAGTTAGAAATAAATGATGCGGTCACATAAGACATGCTTCCAGTTTGCATGAGAATGATGGCAACAGTACCTGTCCGTTTTGTTTTATTTAGTGAAGCGCGTGAATTGGTTAACTTATCGGAGAGAAATGTAAATGTGCCGAATATGTTAAACTGCCGACAGCTGCGACAATTAATATTTCATGAGGTTTTTTACCTTTACTTTAGTGTTTGTTGAACGTTACCGTTTGCTGTTTCTGGATACTTTCCGGAAGACTAAGGATTTTGGAAGCTTTCTGCACTCGGTTTCGATAGAAAATTTTTATGTTCAAATCACTTCCAAATAAGCAAACACTTCCATTTTATTATGCTGTTTGCTGAAGTACCAAGTTGCCGTATAATTATTGAAATGAGTTGAAACAAGCATACTTAACAAAAGCAGGTTAGATTGACAAGTCCATTCGATTAATAAGCGAAATTTCATCCCAGAGCAGGCCTTGGTCTCCTTGTTTATTCGACAGCAGACTAGTTGTTACAGGACTTTAAAAGGATAAGTAAACAAGCAATACTGAAGTGAACTCTTTTTAGATATTCAAAGATTTGTCACCAATCGAAGATTGTTGCATACTAGCTCTAAATCAGGAATATGTTGATGATCATAACGGAACGTTTACGATCGCTGCGCATTCAGAAATCGCTGTAATACCACCGATAAGTGGTGGTTGAATTTTGAAAATTCCACTAAAAGAAGGTGCTTTTTTAAATACGGATACATCTTTCCTTATTGGAAAGAAGTCTACTGTTTATCAGCAGCTGTTTTTGATTTATGAAACATCAGTGCTATGTCTTAGTATATTAAGCAAGCGCTGTCGTGGAAGGTTTTGATTGTTTAATTAATAATATTGGGAGAGGTGTTTGATTGCAGGGAGATTGTCTTGGATGTAAATAGAAATGCGTGAGGTAACAGAAATATGATCCAAGTTCTTTATTAGCAAAAGTAATAAGACAAAACGTTGATAGAGAACAACTGAAATTGGAATCATCGGTCCTTGGCGATAAATTACACATATACTAATTCTTTTAACAAGGGTGATCTTTATGTAGCAATTATCTTACATTATATATGTTAAAATATGGGAGTGGTTTATAATTAGACATTTTTGTACAAAGGATGATAGTAACTTTAACAATAAGTTTAAAAATGGATATCACGATGAATTGAATGGATATTACGAAAGAGTGTATAATGATTTGTCCAAAACATTGTGATAAATGGCTACTATGAGTTGCAATAGACATTACATGACAGATGCTCATAGTATATGAATTGATATAAGATTAAAAGTCAATTAAACCATTACGATGAATTGTAAAAGACATCAGTGGATTGCTATAAAAGCATTGTTAACATTTATTTAGTGCTTCGCGATGTTAAAATCCGCAACAAGTGCTAAGAAAACGGCACTATAAATGGTTGATATTTATACCATTAATCTAAACTTTTAGATATAAAAAGTACAGAATAAAAGGGAATCAATATAAAGGTCCAAATCAGTTATAAGTACATTGGAATAGAATAATCCTGAGAAAATAATGAATTCAATGGAAGCAATTTGAATCTTTTATGAGTTTGGATTTCCTGTGGCATTCAACAATTAGAAAAACATTCAAAAATGTCACGAAAAACTTACGATTTATGAAGACCGCATTCGCTATAAATAATATGAATACAAATGTGTAAATATGGATACAAAGTGCAGCAGTCTACTTTTTTTTTCTAATTTTTTGTACTACCACCTCAAAGGAAGTAAAAGTTCAACTTTCAGTAAAATACACTGGCACGAGTCAGTTTGGATAATTTTCCTATTTCGTAACAGATTTTCACGTATTAAAATGACAACTGGACTTTTCAAATCCTTAACAATAAAAATATTTTTTGAAAGAATTATTCACTCTGGTACTGAACTGTACAATAATACTGCTCCACAAACAGTTATGGAACCGGTAAGAAACATCAAATTCAGCTGCACGTCGTGGAATATAAGATGAGAGATCATAACAACCAAGATGATACTCATTGCTGAGGCAAAACTTTTGCATAAGTTATCCAGGTATTTCATTACCAGTGATATGAAAATCCCTCCTGGAATAAAAAGAACTTCGCATTTCTCGCTTACGATTTGCTGCTGTGTTGTCTGTAATATCGCTCTCTTCCATTTCATATACCTTCTTAATCACATGTCTATTTGAGGCATCACAATATTGAGTGAAGGATTATATTCGATATCTCACCGAAAAGTTATGTGGCTAGTTCTGTTTTCGGAAACTTACCAGACATTTTTAGTTTTTCTGACTGCTACTGTTGATCAGATTGCAGAAATTTTCATATAAGTCTATCTAAAATTGAGAGAAAAAAAAAGACTAACCTAAACTCAAGAACAGAATGACAGCAATAACATTACTATTGTAACCATAAAAAAATCCTTTAGTCAAAATTCTGTTCCATTCAGAAAGAATGCATCCCAAAGCTGCACTAACTACGCCACAACTATACATTTGAAGATTCCGTATCCAGAACGGTGTTTCACTGCCATCTTTAAGCATATATTCAAAGTATACTCCTGTAATTAGTCATAAATCGACTATTTCTAAATCTGTACCTGAAATCATAATAATCTAAACGGAAGATTACTAACCAGCAAAACCTGCAGTTACACATGTGAAGAGTACAGCGCTCAATCCAAGCAAGTAATTTTCATCACTTTTCTCCTTAATGCTTCTTTCGTTTATACTGAGCTATAAATTCAACCCATCAGTTTTGACTGAATGAAATTCAATTTCATTCAAATAAGAGATGGCAAATAATGAGATAACATTGTGAAAAACTAGAACTGTTTCTACCTCATACATCCCATTTTGGTCGTGGTAGTCTATCATATTTTACACAAAAATTTTCCAGTTCACTAAAACGTAAGCTATAACAAAGTCTGCACGAAACCCAAAAAACATACTTTATAAGCTTTGCAATATTAACTTGGCTTCATCTTTTTAGTTGCATACTTCACTTCTACTTGCATGCACTCCCAAACAGAGCACAATTAATACAATTAGTGACGAACAGTCAAAAGAACAACTAGCTTACATTAACTATAAAAGAAAAAAAAAATCGAAATTGTTACCTCCACAGCAGCAACACCTCCGAAAAGCAAAAAAATTGAAAGCCATCGTGTGCCCGAGAATCGTCGCCCAAGGATAATCATCATAAAAATAGCCGTAGTAACCACTTTAAGTTGAGTAGTAACATGATATATACCTGCATTCAGATTTGATAATGCCACAAAATCAAGATTATTTTGAAGCGCATAGGCTATTGACGGAAAAGTCATCTTCAGCAAATCCTTTGGTTTCCCGAAATATTCTTTCTTTATACACTGCAATTCAATTACCTGCTACAAATAGTCTATTACCTATCTGCCACTTATTTGAAAAATTCATTTGTTTAAAAAACTACCATTCACTAAAAGTTGTCCTTCACTTTTTGTTATACTTTCAAACTTTGATATATATATATATATATATATATATCTAACACTGATCTAAATTTTCTAGAACAATAATAATGAATAATAACTTCAAGTTATATCTAATACTGATCTAAATTTTCTCTACAATAATAATAATTTGAAATAATTTTGAAAAAAAATTTCTAAGGTCTGAAAAAAAAACAAATGAAAAAAGATGATAAATTCTAAAGCGCCCAAGGTTTTGGAAAAAAAATTAAAAAAATATAGATATAAAAGATTTGGAATAATGATAATAGATTGTAATTGACAAACTACTATATGCATTCACGCTAGTGAATCATCACATGTAGAACAAGTAAAAAATGAAGCAAACTTACTCTAGTAAATTCTTTTACATTGTAGTTATTGATCTGGAAGACAAAGAATAAAGCAATAGTCATTTTGATTATTTCCGAAAGATATACGACTGTTGTTGAGGAATATTGCTGGAAAAAACAAATTTGTAATAATACTTTTTTATTTCAAACGCAGCTTAGCTGAACAGAAATATAAACCTAAAAGTACAGAACATAATGAAAGGTACACTAAATGAAATAAAATAATACTAACAGTTTAATGAGGAAATAAGTAAAGTTTGATTAATGCTACATATTGCAATAAATAATGCTATTTAGAAATTAATAATCGATGATGAATGCTTATTAAACACTGACAATGAAAATTTTGTAATGGCTGTCAAATTGAATTAGTTTTAAAAATTCTGAAATCTGCAAGATTACAAACAATCATATCGCTTACCAAATGTCTGGGAGCGCTTAAACGAGAATATCTCACAGTTACTGTATAGCTTGTCCAAACGAAAATCATTTGAATAATAATGAAACATTTGAAACGAAGACTACTTCGTTCTCCATTTTCAATCATTTTCGATGATGTCAATGGAATATTTCCCAATGGAACTTTCTCCCAATTCCCTTTAACCAGCATTGCTGCAATAAACTGTACACGCCTATTTCCAATCCAAACCTTCTCAATACAATCAAATCTTCCTGATGCATTAAAGATGAAAAACGATGGACCTACAGTATAATAAAAAACACACCAATGAAGTGCAATGTCAGTTTCAATCATTACTAAATGATTATTTTGCATATTTATCACTTAAGGAAGCGTTTCTAGGCAATACATATGAAAAATGAGAGACCACTTTAGAAAAGGACGCCTCCTGATGAATGCAGGACAGAAAAACTTAGTGAACAATGTATTCAAAAATGAAATGTTAACCATCCACATGAAATGTCATCCTGAGAACTTTTTGTTTCATGAAATAAATTCATACGCCTGGATAATAATAGAACTGAATAGGATATCAATGGAACCAATTCCGTCAATACAACGGTTCAACAAACCAATATAGCACCAAAGATGATTTGCTTATTGCGATATATTTTTATTCGAAAAACATCTGAAAAGAAAGACAATGGATACTAAGACTGCAAGTTATTTCAAAACAACAAACCAAGCACATCGATTACCACCAATCAATAAAGTGTTTATAGAAAAAATAGTTATCAAAAGAAAGCTTGTTTTCTCTTTCAAGACAGCTAAAACAGCTATCAGAAATGCCACTTTCTACCCACTGTCATTAAATACGATTTTTCATTTACAATCGAATCCGATACAAACAAGCTCAGGAAACTATACGGCTGATTCCCAGATTGGAAGTGAACTTAGAGATTACACACTTCTATTTGAACTCTGGACACGAAATAAAACTCCGTCTGATACTGTAATGTGAAGTATTGTTCCCAAAACTTCAATATTGCAGACTTACAAACAACTGTAGTATTATTCAATTCCGAAAATAATATAACCTGAATGTAAATGAATACATATAGAAGAGAGATATGAAAGACAGCATGTGTGGTCATGTAAATTATAAGAATACCATTGCATATTTACTAGATTTTAGTACAAATTTCATGAAAAGTTAAAGGTGCATAGCAAAAGTGAAGAGCAATGCAAAAGGTATTAAAGGTAAGGCAAAAATAGCTATGATGACATTAAATTAAAAACTTAGACATCAGTAGCAAGTTAGAAATTGAAGAGAACTGAGTAATTCTAGATTTGTTGTAAAAACTTCAGAGTTATAGCTCAATAAATTTTCCTACTACACTTTCAACTGCATTGTTCTGCCTTCATGCCCTCATATTCCTTCAATTATTTCTCAGAAAAAACAAGATCAGATATTATAACAAACCAAAATATCCTCATTTGAAATAAAATTCTCTTAAACCACAGAAAACAAGCAATGATAAGGGTCTAAGTGGAAATGGAAATTCACTTAGACCCTTTTCACACAGATGACAAAAATCTGCTAATTAACAGTGAAAACTTCTTGAAATTCAAAAAACCATTAAATTTATAAACAAAGAATAAGAATGAGGATAAACTATTTGAACTGAATTTGTTCCCCTTTTCACTCACATGTTATATGCATGACTTTGGATATGAATAATTTTGAGGTTTGGATTTTGGATGAAAACCTAGATAATGAGGTTTTACATCTAATATTTTATGAATAATGTGAAAAAAAAAATGTTAGAGGGCTGACGGGCTATTAAAAAGTGCTGATTCACGACAACGCTAAACATATATGTAGTTCATTTTATGTAAATGAAAATGCAGAAAAATGTACAAATAGTAATCAAAATTTTGTCCAACAATTAAAACGTCAAATACAACTAGTTATTTTAAATGTTTTAATTGGAAATTATTCTGAAAACAATTGACTAAGAGGCTACAAGTTGAAGATAAAGACAAGTTTACATGGAAAAAATGACACGAAAGAAATCTTTTAATTTATTCCGAATGCGCATATTAAAACAAAAACAAGCATTACTCACTCAAATGTCACATAAAAAAATTTACATCTCGTCGTTCATCATATTCCAAAAAAAATTGACATTGTAAAGAATCAAGATATTGAAGAAATTGGGTTAGGCGGAGGACCCATTTGAGAAAGAACTTTATCCAGCCACTAAAACAAAAATGAGTATTGGTTTTTTATCATTCGACAATATAAGAAAATGATAAAAAATCGATTTCGATTAAATGTGAGTAGGAAAAAAACAAAATAGAAGGATTATGGTTGTTTTCCGATTTATCCCAAATTATTTTAATACAAATTAATCAAGTTTAAATGTTAGCAGTGCAACATGAAAGGCATACCTGTAGTGGAGCGTGCAGATGTATTTCAACCCAGCAAGGCGTAGATGTCACATCCTGTCTCTGATATTCCGCACCCCAACCCTTCACAAACGACATACGTATGATTGTCATATTGGTTAGCTCATAGATTGCATCAAATGAGCAGCAACGTGTCGATTCAGCTAACAACTGGAAAACAACAAATTCCAGATCAAAAATGACATCTATTGATAAAAAAAAAATAAATGGAGAGCTAAAATAACGAAAATTTATAGAAGAAATATCATATATTCTTTGTGTAAAGAAGAAAATATTGCGTTTTAAATTTTTGCAAAAAGAAAACCTCTCTAAATTTTGACATGTCGAAAATTTTCAAAGAAATTCCATTTGTTATTTTGCACACTGTTGTCGGATGAAAACTATGAAAATAATTGCAGTTACGAGATTGAATGAATATAGCACTTTCACTTTGGCATTCGGCAAAAAGTGTTCCTTGATTTGGAACATAAGTAAGTTTTACTCCTGAAATTTATGAATAAAAAAAAAAAAAAACTCCCAAGCATCTAGGGAAATTATAAAAAATAAAAAAAAGACAGCAATAAAAATTAGAGCTGTAAGAATTAAAGATTATGCTGAAAACAAACAACACCGTCTCTTTAAAACAAATAATTTACCATATCTAGCACAGGTAATTTGATGGCTGTAAATTACGGAAAATCAAACCTCTTCCAATACGTCGTCTAGTCGACTCGATTTGTTGATTTCTGTTCACGTTAGACAAAAGACCAAGACATATCTTACCAGGATTTGAGGTTGGGTCCGTAAAACCATCAATTTCAACGGTTGGGGATGAAACTTTATATTGTTCACCGACACGAGTATTAAGTTCAAAATAGCTGATTGTAGCCCAGAACTTCCCTTCCTCATATGGTATCTGAAATGAACTCTGGAGAACAATGAGCAAAGACAGAATACAGATTCAAAAAGCTTCAGGTCTTCCATATCAAAATAATATGAGAAAACTCGGACCGAAAATTTCTTTTAAATCATAACATAAACCAGCACACCTCTATCGTGGTAACACCGTTCGGAATGATTACACTTGCATCCATCTCGTCGTCACGTTTTGACATCATCACCTGGAAATAAGTTTCCTTAACTAAATCTGATGGGAATTCTTTAATTATACCGTTATAGTAACAATGAATTTGTAACAGGAAGTCCTCTTTATTAGAACAAAAGCTTAACTGAACATCTGCAAGAAACTCAGCAGATCAATACAAATCAGCTGGAAGAAAGACATTCAAGAGATTAGATATTTGACCTGCGTCAGAAAAACTAAGTTTTGAGTGAAACTTTGAAAAAAGTGGAAGTTGAAACGAACTGCATCACTGTAATGACTGAAGTCAATATTGCATGGCATCGACGAAGCCGATGGACTCGTTTGTAATCTAGAAATACGTAATAGTCGTGGTATAATATGTGGCGGTGGTTCAGTATACCGGGGTACCAGAACCGGAGGTAAGATACCAGCACTTTCCACTCTTTCGTAGTGATATGGATTGATACAAACATCTTTTTGACCTGATTCATAACAATAGCGACAGTCATCGATTGCTTTCAGTTCATGATGCGACTGCAAATCTGGCCAACGATAAACACGACAGTAAATTACATGTGGCAACGCTTTCCGATGCGATATCTAAAAAATGTGACCAAATACGTCACGGAATAGAACATACGTGACGTCCATAGGAAAAACCAGATATTTTTCCGCTACATTTTGATCGCAAAATGAATTCTATAACAAAATAAAAAAACGAATTCTGTGTTGACCTATAATCGCCCAAACTATATTGAGCTATATTACGGTATTATTCAGCTGATACATTTCAAACTCAGTGATGAAGAGATCAGAATTTTCGTCTACTTTATTTCAAAAAAATTTATAGAAAACAAACGAGAATGACCGACGAACCTGTAACCTGCCGTCAAGTGAACGTGGTATAGTAACGCAGTCTGTTCGTTGACGTCCTTGACACTGCAACGCCATTTCCAAACTTGCCAATGCTTCCTTGTTATGTTTTTGTAGCTTCTTCATCAAACTATCGATAGCTTTCTTAGACCAGCTTTCCTCTTCATCACCTACAACTGATACATTCATATAATTCCTGGTGATAAAGAATTTCTGTTCAGCTATTCAACAAAGAAGTTGCATTTGCAATGAATTTCAGATAAGATACAAACCTTGCTTCCACCCCAGACATTTCGCCACAGCAGTACCCCGCTGACCGAGCAAATTCTCAAACTTCATTCCCTTGCTTATTAGACCTGAAATCTGAGACGAAATTAAATCACTCACCTCACTAAACATTGCACATTTTAGAGCAAAGCATTTCAATACTGAGATGGGGAGAGGAGCAGTGCAGGAATATTATTCTATATTAAGTATAAAAAGAAGGGAAGGGAAAGGGTATGACAACAAACTTCGAGCTAAACGGAAGCTAGAATTGAAGTTGAAGGTAAAGTGTTCAAGTTCGGATGCAACGGAATGTAACAGTGACGTGGGACGTAACGTTGCAGATATGAAGAGTCCACTGATAAGACGTGTCTTCATTGTTGCGTGCAAAGTGAACACATTATCAGCCCCTCAGAGGGCCCCATGATAAGCGATAATGTCAGCACTTTGAAAGAGTCGTCTCAAGTCACAATTGCATATCGCTGCATCATTCAGCCATCGATATTGTTTACTAATCAGACTGTGGATCAGTTTTTGTACTTCAAGAGTAAGGCTTGGTTAGTTGCTTAGGATAAAGGTCAGGATTGGAGGACTTGGATGGAATAAATATTCAAGATTTAAAGGGAGTGGTTCAAAGTTAATTGAAGTTGAATGAAGAAGAAAATACAAAGTTTTCAGATAAATTGATCTGTTTTAAAATGAACGGTCGGTTAAACTCTTATGTAAAATGCATTTCGTTTTTCAAGATATTAGCAATATGCTGATGGAAAAAAGCAGCAGTTTTGATGAGAAGGATATGAACGAGGCATTAGAAAATAACCTTGGAACGAAGGAAGTTGAAAATACTGAGGTTGTGGGAGATGAAGTGACATTCAGTGACAGGGTGAGTGATTATTAGTTTGATAAGGATGACATTTCCTTTATTTCATTGTGTCTTGCTTGGTCTCAACATTTTTGAACTAGCACTTAGCTTAATTAATCTTTAGAACATTATTTGGAGTAGAATTTACATACTTAGTTGTAAGAACACGGCAAAGGAAAAAGGGAAGAGTTAAGTTCATCTTTTCAATGCTTCTGTTACGCATGACTGATGAATTTTCCGTTTTTTTCTTAAACAAGAGAGCTTTCAATTTGGAAAGGAATGATGTGCTGCTGTACTGCAACTTCAGGTGATTCATACTATTGCCTCAGTCAATGGTGGTGGATTTTGCCCTTCTGGTGTGAATGTTGTTGATCAGATCAATGCTTTATTTCCAACAGAACAGTCATTATCACATTTGGATTCGGTAATGCAGTCGATCAAGGATGAAATCATTGGCTTGGATCGTCAGCTGGCGAAACTTGTTGAA